AAAAAAAAAAAAAAAAAAGCAGGCTCATTCTTGTTGGTTGGTTCAGTACTGAAAATTGTCTCCCATTTGTCATTGTGGCTTAGAGCAGCTACTGGAGGTTAGAAGCAGAGGGGCCCCAAGCACAGCAGTGCAGTAAAATCTCACTAATTTAAATAATGCTAAACTACTGCAAATTAATAAAGATGTGAAATATGAGCTATTTGTTCATGTTTCTTACCTTCAAGCACATAGATTAAGTTCTACTAGCTGGTCATGATGGCACATGCCTTATAGTCTCAACTACTCTGGTATATTGAGAATGAAGAGCTGCTTGAACCTGTGAGTTCAGCACCAGCCTAGACAACATCACAAGACCCCATCTAAAAGCAAACAAAAACCCATAGATTAAATGCCACCTATGTGAATAATAACTATTTCATCAAACTCCCTTTCATTAAATTATAAAACTAGCAACCCATCCAGACAGGTATAGAGACTTTTTAAAAATTCAAAGTGGTGTTAGTAATGGAATTTACTATTACATGGAACAATTGTGGTATTCTCAGATTTTGGAGAGAGAAAATAAATGGGACTATATTCACAACCTTCTCTTGTCCAACCTGTGGTCATGGTCTGTCTCTAATTACCTTCTCATCTTAATTGCCTTCTCATCATCTTCCAAGATGCCAATGTCCGGCGGTACCTCCAGCTGACACAGTCGGAACTCAACAGCTACCATAGGAAAGAGAAGCAGCTGTACCTGGGCATGTTTGGTTAATGAAGAAAAAAGATGCTCCTTCATGTGAACTTGGGTGGACCATTAAAGATCCATCAAAGGAAAACCTGAGCCTCAGCAAGATAAATTAATCTTATATCTCTGATCCAGGTGGATTTGTTTTGTTTCCTGTTCTAAACAAGCTCTTTGATACTTAGACCATCTGTATGTTGTTTTTTTTTTCTTTAGCCTATCCACATATCATTTTTAATACATGTTATTGTTGAGGGTTTTTGCTTTGAGAAGTAAACTAGGAAACAGTCCTCTGGTATGGATTAATCTATTTCTGGCATAGACTTTAATGAGATGCTGTTAGGTGTATTTATATACAGAGAAGACTAGCAGAGGATGAAATAGTAAGGTTAGGCAGAAAGGAGTTTCTGTTTCCTCAGATGCCCAAATCAAACTGGTAAATACATTTTTGTGAAACTAGGTAATTTTAAATTGGGCCCAATTATATTTAAATGAAAGGCTTGAAATTAATCATTTTTTATTTAAATCCCTTAGTCTCCTTAACATTTCAAACACGTTCAGATTCTTTTTCCCCTGTAAGAATGTCTCTAACCAGGTACAGTAGTGCATTCCCAATCCCAGCATTCAGGAAGCTGAGGGTAGTCTGGGCTACATGGCAAGATTTGTCTCAAAAAAACAAGGGCCAGGAAGGTAGTTTGGTGTTAGAGCATTTGCCTAGCATGAGTGGGGCTCTGGATTCTTCCCGGGGGGGGCAACACTACAAAGAAAACTAAAAAGCATCTTCTATTATTTTCTGGTAATTTCTACTCCTTGCTTATTGCTGTTACTCAGATCACATAGTATACTTACTTTTTCATTAAACTGTCCTATCTTAAAACTTCTAGAGTCAAGCACAAGTATTTATTCAATAACCCTTCAGTCTTTATGCCAAAAAAAAATTTAATTTTTAATAGATACAGATGTACAGTATGCTCATTTGTCTAAAAATCATAGTAAAGACAGATTACCATGCCATCTGGAAACAATACCACAACAGAGCAGGATAAAAACCTAAATCTCTTCGTTAACCTGTCATCCTGTATTTTGCAAGAGATCGGTTCCTTACAGGGCAGGGAAGCAACAAGAAAGGCTGTTACTGCTCAGTATCTTGGAAATACCTGATAGAACACTGGTAAAGCTGGGTTGGGCATGAAAGTAGGGTGCACATCTAGTGTAGGTTTAGCTCAGTAAGTTCTGTCAACCAGGAGCTCCCTTATCACTATGTTTACACATATGATAATAGTCATAATCCACAATACTAAATAATTGTGTATCTGAATAGTAGCTAACATAATGTAGCATCATTGCTACCTTTATAAGTGGAGGTAATAAGCATGTGTCACTTGTCACCATATAAAAACCATAAACCAAATAGATTTCTGAGGAAAAAAAAATTAAAAACACTCTAGTTTGTCAGCAATACCCAACTCTTCAAATGGGCTAGCCTCCTTTTTGTTCCTCTCTGTATTTTAAATAATACAACTATCAGCATACATCAAAAAGGTTTTCTGCAAATAATCTCATAAAGCCCAAGGACAGAACTAACAAATACAAGAAGTAGAATGTTTTACTTCTTAAATTGTTAAACTTAGGTTTATTGATAAAATTTTATCATGGTAAATCCTGTCAAGTCAGTTTAGCCAGAAACTCTTTATTGTGTTTCCTCTTAATAATTTTCCATTCACTGATCCTTATCTACCCTATCCCTTAATTATAAGTCCTACCTGCCTTGTTGGAGTTAAGACTTGTGCCTCATCTCTGTCCCCCACTGCAAAACCTGGTTGTAGTGGTTCCTATACCTATTGTCATGACTTCCCCTTAAATAATCTGCCTTACCATGCTTTTAAATTTTTTTAAAAAATTTTGTCGTGTTTTATGTTTCATTTGTTTCATGCTGGTTTTGCTTTCTGATGTTCTATTATCTTGTATTTCAAAAACCTGATGTTACCATAAGCTGTCTTCTACATTTAGGAGGAAAAAAATAAAATTAATATTTAAAAATGCATTTTAGAAACTTATTTCACTAATCCTTTTCTTAGCACTACTAAGAGATAGCACAGTGGTCAGGCTTATCTTTCAGTTTTTGTTTTGATGCGAAGCTCCTAATGGTGATGTCAGTGAACAGAAAAGTAGACAAAGGAAAGCAGTCTGATGTTGGTCTTGAGGGAATTTCACAAGCCTATATCCTGAAGGAATCAACTGGAGGCTCCCTAAATCTCTGTAATCAGAAGTTTGTGGAGGAAGAGGTTGCTCATTTCACCACACTTTGTTTCCACACAGGATTTAAAGATTTTGAATATGAGTGGTCATACTTAGGTACCTGAGAGACATATTAGAAAGTGTTTCCCAGGGGCTGGGATGTAGTTCGGTGGTACAGCGCTTTCGTAGCATGCGCGAGGCCTTGGGTTGTATACCAGCACCAAAAAAGAAAAGACAAAAAAAAAAAGTGTTTCCCAAACTTAGACCTACCACCTTTACAATTTTGCCTGAACTCCATACTACCTGCACTAATATTCAGACAATTTTAAGGGCTGAGGGTGTAGCTCTGTGGCAAAGCACTTGCCTAGCATGCACAAAGCCCTGGGTTTGATCGATCCCTAGCACTCTTCCCCATTATTTATTTTTTTAGACATGGTCTCATTAAAATTGCTCAGGCTGGCCTTGAACTCCTGGACGCCTGGATTCTGCCTGAGCCTTATAAGTAGCTGGGATTATATTCATGTGTCACCTGTCCAGTTTTAAACGTGTTTGTTTTTTGCTAGGGAATCAAGCCCAGAGGTTCAAGCATGCTAGCCAAGTGCTCTACCAGTGAGCTATACTCCCAACCCAGAGCCTCTTTGGTGCACATGGCAGTGATGTGACCAATGCAATGGTTACTGTGTTCACCAAACTGTCTAGAGAAATACGTACTACATATACACGTAGATATCTATTATGCCTTGCTTTTAGGGAACTGGTGCTCTAAGGCAATAGATTTATTTTCTGTTTTTTCAAGTTGAGAAATTACTATAAAATCCACTCTTGAAGGCAATTGAGTATGTTACTATGTGCCAGCCTTTTTACTTTTTAGTTATTTTTTGAATAGGGTCTCACTTTTATGCCCAGGCAAGGTTGGTCTTTCATCCTGTTTATGCTTCCTGTGTAGCTTGGATGACAGGAAGGTGCCATCATGCCCATGGTTGAGATGGCG